CCGCACGGGCTTGGACGTCCATCACATAAGCAGTCTGGTTTTGGCGGGCCACAGATGCACGAGCTCGTTCCCGATCCCTGCTCGTCGGTCCGTAAGCCCGAGCATCGCCTAAGACGAGACCCCCACCCCCGCATTTTTCAAACACTCCGAGCCCGTCGTGCTACCAGAAGGGGGAGGACCAGGGACAGGTTGAGGGCCTCCTTCCTTTCCTATCCTCATCCTCCCTCCTCTCTCCTACCCCTCCTCGTCTGCTCCACCGTCCTTGTCTTCCTCCTCCTACCCTGTCAGTGTTTGGTTCAAGCTCCGATCTATCTGACATCCGACCCCGCGCTGGCGGATGGAAGGAACGAGCTAGAAAAGGGCACGGGGTGGCTTTTGCGTTCCCTTGCAAAGCATTAGCCCCGCGTCGAGGGTGATGCTAATGCGCACCGATCCCCGAGCGCGCAGATAGCCAGACTGCCGACGTCCCCTAGCCTCCCACAGCGGAGCGAGAGAAAGAGAGGACAGCGAGAAGGGGGGGCGCACTATGCGGGAAAGGCCGAGGGACCCCAACATCGCCCTCACGGTGGCTCTCCCCCTCCCTATATCGTTCCTCCACCTCCTCCCCCGTGTTCCGATCGGCAGAAATTTACTGTGTTGCCCATGCACACGCGGACTGGAATGTTTGAAAAAGGGAATCGCCTTCTCGGTGCTTCTTTGTCGCTGCACGCCCAGCTTCTACCAGGCGCGCCCACTCGTCCGAACCCCTCGGGATAGCAGCATACGAAGCAGCAAGGGCGTGAAAATCAGCGAACACTCCTGGACCAGTGTTGTTGCTCACGTGCGTTCTCCAAGCACCACCGCCTCCACGAAGCCTCTTCGACGGAGGCCCCTGCTCCTGATCATCATTGCCCTGGTTCTCCAGAGCACCATGTCCGTCAGCACCTTGTGGAAACAGGATGTTCCCGAACTTCTCTGCGTAGACGCGGAATAACCGAAGCACTTCCATTGCAGAGGCCGTTGACAAAGCAGGCGTTTTGGATTGATTGCAAAGGGCCCGAAGAACTCGACGAATAGCGGCGTGCTTCGCCTCGATCGCAGAAGTGTCAAACTTTGCGATGATCAACACAACTCGTATCTCAAGCAACGCACCAGAACAAGTGAGCCCACCTTCAGTCTGCCAGTGCGCTATAAAAGCCCTGGACCAATCGCACCAGAGGTGATGATCAGCCAATATTTCCGACACGAGCTCATCTGAAGGATTCACCATCAGGTTGAATATCTTAAAAGGGTATCCTTGGTGGAAGTTCATCATGTACGTCGCCAAACACAACGTGGACGCCAAACCTTTGAACGCCTCGTTGCGGAGCGCCACGTTCCGACACTCGGGAGGAACAGCTTCCCACCGAGAAGGCGTAGACATTCGAGCAACCACATCGTTGATCAGATCCAACTCCACCTGGCCGGATGCTGCTACGAGCCCACGGTACGATCGGAACGCACGGTCTGCTCGAGATACAATGTGCGCAATGCATACGAAACGTTGTTCATCTTCCCACTTGTGGCCACCAAGCACCAGCAGGTCTGCCATGAATCTCCTCTGCGGCTCAATCACGTTGGATAGAACAATAACCTCAGCCATGGGGCCCTCCCCCTCAAGGCTGAGCATCTGGCAACAAATCCGTCGAGATTTTGACTGCTGCTTCTGTTTAGCCTCGTGGCCGCCAGTCGGCGCCGAAGGCTTCGGGACTGGATCTTCATATTCGCCTGGACCGTCGAGTTCCACTCCTCCTTTTTGGACAATATCTTCCAGTGCCAACATACGAGAAGCCCAGCTCCCATGCAACGAACACAAACGTGGAACCTTGTAGCCGAGTCGATCGCAAAATCTCGCAAAAGTCTTGGACAACAAACGGTTGAGCCCTTCAAATATCCCAACAAAATTGACACTCTCTTCTTGTCTCGTCCACCTGTGTAGCGGAAATGGGGTCGGTCTCTGACTACACAACGCGTCAACTGCATACCGCTGAAACTTCACACTACAATCTTGCTCCCCTGTGCAACACCCTGGGCAATAATGGACTATATCATCTGCATCAGGGTCACCTGTGAACAGAGATTGAATGACCGCCCTCCTGATGATATCCTTCTTGTTGCTCTTAATCGTGAACGTGTCAAGGAGAGCCCGCACTCGGGCTCTATGGCGCACTGGCGGGTCGCCCCTCACGTATTTCACAGCATTCTTTAAATATGTTCGCAACTCCTCCCTCATGATTTTCATGGCGGCCGACATGCCGACTGCAAGGCATATGTGGATCAAGAAAGAAATAACGTGTGAGAATCCTTTCATCGTTTTTGTTCTGATGTTCTGGCCCATATGAACTTCGCATTTTGCCCTCATTGATGCCATGCCCTTATCTTTTGAATACAAGTGCACCTCTGCTTTCTCAATCGCCGCATCTTGATCAGTGGTCACAATTCGCTGCCTGCGGTTGAAGCTCGCAGCCACATCATTCATAGGCAAACGTGCTTGCTGTGCCGCTCGAAGGTAACATCCGTGAGTGGTGCTCTGCACTGATTGAAGCCAATGCGTGAATTTCATCTCCAAGCAAACCAAATCATCGTGGTGAGAGAACAATAACACAATTGAAGTTTCACCGTTCACTATCTTCGCTGGCAAGGAGTCTTTGGGCACTACGTGTGGCGATAAAAGGTTTGGCAACGTTTCCTTCTCTGCAAAACTCTCCAGTGGAATCTCTTTACCTCGAACGCTGAATTGTAAAGGTGTTTCATCGTAGCGAGCGAACTCCGTGTAACTGATTAGTGTGCAACCTGGCTGGTTAGATAAAGCTCGCACGACCTCTTGGGATATCTTGACAGCCTGCAGCCGCTCAAACAATACACACGTCATCGCGAGATCAGCCTGCACGGCTCGATATTTCTTGCGGTCCACTTGAGCGAGTTTGGAATCGGCTGACAAGGTCAACGTCAAACCACCAGATACCAAACAATACTCCACAATAGTCTTGTTGTCGGGATCGGTTGGTGCTTTTCGAGAAGAGCGATCCGCCTCCCCAGTCTCAGTACACTGACCAATAAAAGCCTGCATGCAATCGTATAGCCCAACATCAGTGAATACAGTTGGTGAAAGCACAACATCTGCAAACGCGGGCCTCGGTATCGCCGCCGCGAAACACATGTGAGACCGCAGTGACAGGGCAACCTTCATTCGACACACCGTGAGCTCACATAGGTTCGAACAAATCCCCCTTCTCCTCATCATCATTTGTGTACATCACAATCATGCCCCCCACTCCTCCATCACTTCTCCCTCCCACTCCCCCACCTCCCCTTCCGTTCCAGGAAATGCGAACTCACAGTGTATCGAACCCCCTTTGTGTGATGACGAGCCTCGGCCTCGGCCTCTCCAGCAAGAGGCGGGTCTCCAGGCGCCGCGACGCCCTCAGCAGGGGCGTCTTCCAGCGCGAGAAGAGGCCCAGCGTCGCGTCGAAGCCGACGCACCAACTCTCGCGCCACGGGCTCCCAGCCCACAGCCGCCGCGGGAAGATGACGACGTGGAGGAACAGGGGCAGGCGGAGGAGCGACATCAGCGGGAGGGGAATGCGCTTCCCCAAGGCCATCGGCGCCCTCCGCTGCCCCAGGCGTCGGTGGGGACAGCTGCACCCCAGACCACGCGCCAAAAGGGTCGCCGTCCTCCTGCTCGCTGGCGCTGTCCAGCACCACGCGCGTCGCAGCCCACGCGCCGAAACGGGCGTCGCCCTCTGAATCGGACATCCGATGTGGCTAATTCCTCAACGAAAGGGGGCCGAACAGATCGAATCATTTGAGCCAAAATGGTTACGGAAAGATGGTGCAATCCGCATGCCGATGCATCCGACGTTCCCGATGCATCGCCGATACTTGTGCTTGCGAGACCCTCGAAGCGTTGCACTTGCATTACGCATCCCGATAAGGTTTCGATGCATCGCCGATGCCGAACGTACGTTCCCTAGGCTGAGTCGTGACCGAGTCTGTACTCATACGTTATGTATGTGAATGTATAATATATGGGCGACGTTGTGACATCAACTTTGGGGGCACTTAAAACCAAGTTTTTTGAACACATGCAAATCAACTTTTTACAACTTTTTCCATACTTTCCTTACATAGTATATATGGAGGCCTCTAAGGGGCCATGAACATCATAAGTATAGCACGTATGCGGGATGAGGATGCAAGGGCCTCAGGCGCCCGTGTCGAAGCTTGTCGAGCGGGGCGCGGCCGACGAACGTGGCCCCAACGGTGGGCCGAGGAGGCAAGAATGCGAGGGTACCCCTGGGAAGGTTGCCCATCCGTACTACGCGGGTTGATGTGTTGCGAGCCCCGGGCCTGGCGGCGTCGCCGGGCTGGGGCCCAGAAGCTGCCTGCACAACTGAGGGCGTGCGGGGTTGCCAAACACGCATCCTCGAAAGTCGTAGAATGGACCAATGCGCTAGGACATCGTACTAGACTATAAGAACTCCCGATGCACATGCCTGGACGGTCTATGAGAGTCGCCCCATAACTTCTGTGGGTCCCTGGGGCAATCGTGGAAGCAGAAATTTCGGTGGGGCACCTGCTGGCACGTTGGTTTACCATGTGATGCGGCTACCCGTATGATAAAGACACACGATGAGGATGCAAGGGCCGTGGAAGGCCGTTTCGAAGCTTTTCGAGCGGGGCGCGGCCAACGAAAGTGTCCAAGGATGGGCCGAGGAGGCAAGGATTCTTCGAAAGTGTCCGTGGCTCGGAGTGACTGGTCAAAACAATAGCTTGGGAACTGGTAGCAGCGCGCATACACTGCAGCCGGGCGCAACCGCGCCCTGCCACATCTTCTGGTGCGGGGGACTACTGGATAGCATCTGCAAAACACACGCTCGAGGCGAGCGTCCGACTGCGCACAGCGACTCTTCTCACCCCGGAGGGCCAACGAACGCAAACAGGAGAGAGAAGCAAGCCGTCCTGATTGCAGCCTCGCCCTGTCACATCATCGTGGAGTCGGCTGCGCTGCGGCCGTGGTCGTCCTGGAGAATTCGGGGGGGGGGGAATGGGGGGCACGCGGAGACGGTGTCAACCGAGCCTTCCCGAGCGCGTCGCGCGCCAGTCCTGTCGGAGTGCTGGCGAGCGTCGCGGGCGCCACGGATAGCCAGATGATTTCAACAACGTGCTGGGCTGCGGCAAGGTGGCGGCCTCCGCCCCTCCTGTGGCGTGCCGCGGGGGGTGCACGGCGTGCTGGACGTTCGGCACGGTGGAGGCCAGTCCACCAGAAACCTTGCGCAAGAAGCCCAACTCTGAGGCGCCAGGACGTCCACTAATTTTTGGTATGGGAGCGTCGCGCTTCCCATCGCAAAGCCATCGAAACCCAAGAAGCCCAGAGCACCCTGGAGGCAAGCAGGGTGTTTCTTGGCATGGGCCTCCACTGTAATTGTTGTTATTGTTGTTCCTGTTCCCGGCCATCATGTGGTATTGGGTCCTCGTTTTGAAGAGACAGCGCCCCGCGTCACACACTCCTCCTCCTCCTCCTCCCGCTGCCCCCTCCCTCCTTCCATCATCACCATTCATCATCATCAGCAGCATCATCATCATCGTCATCAGCATCGTCATCATCATCAACAACAACATCAGCATCAGCATCATCATCAGCATCAGCATCAGCATCAGCATCATCATCAGCATCATCATCACAATCAGCATCGTCATCATCAGCATCATCATCATCATCATCATCATCCCCATCATCATCATCATCATCATCATCATAATCATCATCATCATCATCATCAGCATCATCATAATCATCATCATCATCATCATCATCATCATCATCATCATCATCATCATCATCATCATCATCATCATCATCATCATCGACATCGTCATCGTCGTCATCAGCATCACCATCATCGCCGTCAGCTTCGGCACGCCCCTCACACGCTTCGTGGCACCATAGGGAGCTCCACCGAAGGCCCCGGTGCTACCGCCCGCATGTGCAGCCACACCGAATTCGGCACACCCCTCACACGTTCCGTGGCCCCATAGGGAGCTCCACTGAAGGCCCCAGTGCCACCGCCCGCATGCGTCAGCCACACCCACTTCGACGCACCCCTCACAAGTTTGGTGGCCCCATTGGGAGCTCCACCGAAGGCCCCAGTGGCGGCCCCAGTGCCACCGCCCGCATGCGTCAGCCACACCCAATTCAGCACACCCCTCACACGTTTCGTGGCCCCATGGGGAGCTCCACCGAAGGCCCCGGTTCCACCGCCCACACCACATGCGTCAGCGACACCCACTTCGGCACACCCCTCACACGTTCCGTGGCCCCATGGGGAGCTCCACCGGTGGCCCCAGTGCCACCGCCCGCATGCGTCCCTCACACCCATGTCGGCACACCCCTCACGGTTCGTGGCCCCATATGGAGCGCCACCGAAGAAGATATTCACAACTGCGGTGCTCACAACTGCGTATGGTTGGGTCCTTCGCCAGGCTATTTTTTTGTCAGATGCCCAATGGGGTCTAGGCCAAACCCGTGTCCCACACGAAGGGCCGCCAAAAAGCTGTTTTCCATTGGCCCGAATCGCCTCCAAGACGGCCAAGAAGGCTCCTGTGATCTCGAAGACGGCCAACATGGCCCAAGATAGCGTCCAAGACAGCCCCAAGACGCCTTAAGAAAGCCCAAGATCGTCCCAGGATGGCCTCAAGATCACCCAAGACGGACGAAGAGGCCCCCAAGACGGCCAAAGAGGCCTTCAAGAGGACCTCCAGGAAGGCCAGAAGAGGCCCAAATCATTGATAATCGATGGTCCTTAGGTTTTGGGGCACGTTTGACGTTTCCTCATGCTCGGCTGACGGCCCATGACGGCCCCAGATGGCCCCAAGAGCACCCAAGAGGCCTCCGAGGTTGCCCCCTAACGGCCAAAGAGGCCCCCAAGACGGCCCACAGAAAGCCCCAAAACGGCCTAGGAGACCTGCAAGGCGCCTAAGATGTCCTCCAAGACTGCCCTGAAGCGCCCCAAGAGGGCCCCGAATCGGCCCAGAGAGGCCCCCACGACTGCTTCCGACG